GGGTCCCCTCCCGGCGATCGCGGCGCCCTCCCCAGGGTAATCGCGGTTTCGGTCAGCTCTGGCTTCAGCGTGACAGTGTCGGCCTCTTTGCCCTCTTTCTGTAACCTCTAGTTCGGCGGGCGCTCGGACTTGGAGGAACCTGGGAGGGTTGAGGTTTTCCGATGCTTTGCACCTTCTGCAGGGTTTCTGCAGTTCTCGGAGAGCCCCCAAACTGGGAAGTCTGCGGTGTTTTCAGAGGCTGGGAGTGGAGCTTTATCCTGCAGACCTTTTCAAAACCTTGTTGGCCCGGGGCCCGGCTAGCGGAGGACTGGTGCCCAATGACCTTAGAGAGGCAGGGGCCTGCCTTGGGCCTGTTGGGGTCTCCACCCGGAGGGGCGCAGGCTGCGATCTATGATCAGCGGCGGGGGTTTAGACGCTGGGGTCCAAGTCTCCACCCTGCCCCATCCCTTCTCAGAAAATCTCTTCACCTCACAAATCTCTTCTCACGGAGGAGCCCTTTCTGAAATGTTTCCCTACCTTGGGGTTGTCTCCTGTTTCCCTTGTTATTTATCCAAGTTATTGGTCAGAGTTTTTCTGACCTGTCTCCACTCTGGAATAGCGTCCAGAGGAGTCACAAAGGCAAATTATAAAACCTTATATCCACAGATCGCTCAGTCCGGTTCCCATGGGATGCTTGGAGCCCCCATACAACGGTCCAACAAAAGTGCTTGATTTTCGTCCTCCCTCCTGGGGCAAATGCTTCTGCTTCTGGGCTTCTCTGTTTGGTTTACTTTACACTGAACCCCGTGATGGTTATTCTCTGTAGCTCGGCCCTACTGGCCTGAGAATGTAGCCCCTTGGGGTCATTGGACAGAACAGGAGCTGTCCTTCCCCAGTGAAGATCAGTGTGCTGATCAGTGCTGTTCCCAGCACTGATCTGATGTGCGCAGAGCCCAGTGTCAGGCCCTCTCCTTCGTTCCTGGGCCAGTTTGTCCACATCCTTCTTAAAATGGGGAGCCCACAACAGAGCCTAGTGCCCAGGTGTGATGTGGTCCACCTCACCCAGGGAAGGGCATTCTGCAGATGTTTTCTTTTCCTATTCCTTATGGCCCTGCCTGCCCCTACCCCTGCCCTCATGGCTGCGGCAGCTTTGGCAGCTCAGTTGTCTCCTTTCTTTTGGTCTGGTCCCATGAAGTGGCCAGGCAGGATCTCCCTCTTGTTACTCCAGGATCTTGGGCAGTTTTGCATGGGCTCTAAGCCTTGCCACAGAATTACAGAAATTCCTCCCCTTATTGAAGGCACTCCTAGCCCCTGGCCCGCTACTCTGGTTCTGTTCTGTGAAACATTGGGCCTGCTTGGCTTACCTGCTGCAGTTGGCTTTTGAAGTTACCCTGATTTCATTTCTTTGACATGCACCCCATACCGGGTGACCAGATGTCCCAGGTTGCCTGAGACAGCATACTTATTAATAGTATCCACTTTCACTTTCGAAAGATTCATGACTGGGATGATCAAACTTGTCTCTGTTGTCAACTTAGGAAAGAGAGGCAATTGCAAAACAAAAGGAGAAAATTTATTTGTGGTCTTAGAATTGCAATTTGGGGCACACAGGTTCTGGCAGCAGCCAGAAAAGTGTCCTCTTGAGGAATAACAGTCAGGAGTTTTTATTAGCAAAAAGGAGAGCCTGGAACAGATACCTCAGTTGTTTGTTAGGGAGGGTAAATTTATGTTACAGTTCACTGGCTTACTCAAGGACATCTTGTTGACACCAGAAAAAGTGTATTTTTGCACAATCTTTCAGAAAATCCTTTCTCAGCACTAACTCCCTTTTGGCAAGTCAGCAAGGTCAGCACAATTTCATATTTTTAACAAGATGTAGTCCGGGGTACAAAATGGAGTCGATGTTGTCAACTTGTTTCACTGTCTCTAAGTGGGGTGCACTTGTATTTGTAGGCCTAGAAGTGGCACGTGGCAGCCCACGTAGGACTCGCAATGGGTTCAGAGGTGTTAGAGCCACGGTCTAGGAAATCAGATTTCCTCTAGGTCAAGGCTAGCTCATACCCTTTCTTATAGGTGGAAAGCTTCAGGTGACTTTGCCCCCAGAGGGCAGGGGGTCCCCTCTGGGGCACAGAAACAAGTCCAGGCTGGTTCTGAGAACTGTGTCTAGTCAAATTCATCCTGAGAGGTGCTTTAAAATCAGAGCCCTGAATTCACAGCCATGATCCAGAGAAAGGTGTTCAGAGCTCAAGCCCAGCTGCTTGACATGGCACCTGGCTCCTGGGAACCTACCTGTTGCGGAAGTCTGACCAAAGTTAGGCTTGCGGTGCCCTTTGACCCTTCCCCCACCCGCGTCAGAGAGCTCTGACTCCACACAGGGCCAAGTAGCCAGGTCTAGACAGTATTACGGGTAGTGTGTCAGCGCTTCTAACTATTCTTCTAGGATTAGGCTGAAGGCAGGGCACTGGTTTTCAACTGGGATGACCAACTGTCCTAGTTTGTCTGGGACTGAGGGTTTACCTGGGGCAGGGGACTTTTAGTTTTAAAACTAGGAAAGTCTTGGGCAAACTGGGATGAGTTGGTCACCCTATTCTTAACCCTGGCTGCACATTAGACTCACATGAGGAGACTCTCTTTCAGAGATTCTAATTTAATTGACCCAGATAGAGTCCCAGATAGGAGTATTTTTTTAAAGGTCCCAAGGGGAGTCTAACAAACTGCCAGAGTTGAGAACCACTAGGTTATAGGCAACATTGTTAGATAACCATGGAAGGTGGTTATTTTTTGAGCAGAAGTAGACCCAAACATCTCTCAAAAAGGTATATGACCAAGTGTGACGGTCTACTCATTATTAAGAGGGATATCAAAATGGTGGTTGCCTATTATTGCTATTATCTTTCCCCACACCAGGCCTTCTTTCTCACCAGTAAGGACCAAGATTTTTCCTTTCTGGCTTGCTCTGGTAGCCCCTCTCCCAAGGTAATAGGTGAGTGGAATTGCCTCATTTTGATTGGAGGGGTCATGATTTGCACAGTCCCAGATAAAGCTGACACAAGTGATGGTTCAAGAGCTAGCTGAGGGAGCTGTGTATACATCAGCTTTGCCTGAGGGATGCTGGAGCTTGGAGACCAGGTGCCTCTGGGACTGTCCCCTCTGCAGGCCTCCAGGATCATGTGGTACATCGGCACTCGGGGGATGACCCCACGAGTTGACTTTGAGGGGGCCCTGTTCTCTGGCTATGCACCCGATGGGGGCCTCTTCATGCCTGAGGAACTCCCGCAGCTGGGCAGAGAGACCCTGTGTCAGTGGAGTGTGCTCTCCTACCCTAGCCTGGTGAAGGAGCTGTGTGCCCTCTTCATTGGCCCTGAGCTCATTCCAAGAGATGACTTAAATGGTGAGCACCACCCCCCCACTTCCACCCCCTACCCATCCCAGCCTGGCCCCCCAGAGAGTCGCAAATTCATCACTCAATCCTTAGGAGATTGAGTGGAGATCTTTAGTCTGCAGATCTTTAGTCACATTTCCCAAACTTTGGGTCTTTTTCCAGACTCTAGACTTCCAGAATTGGAAATATCCCCAAAGAGTTCATCTATTCCAGCTCCCACCTCCAGCGAGATGAATACCAAAATGATCTGCAGAGAAATTTTTTCCTTTAATTTATTTTTAAAACACCTTTCAAGACGAGCAGCTTGAATGTTGGGATTTTTCTTCCTGCATATTAAGCACCCTTAGACTGCTGTTTTATTTCCTTGAGTTGTAATTCCAGAAGAGACTTTGAGAGTGTCCTGGACCAGCTTGTCTCAAACTGTCATGTGCCTGTGGATTCCCCCAGGGAGCTCTGTAAAATGCAGATTCTGATTCCATAGAGCTGAAGTGGGCCTGAGAATTCTGCACTCCTGTCAAGTGTCCAGATGATACTAGTGCTTGTGGTCCATGGACCAAATATATGATATAACCCATAACGTAATGGTGAGAGTTTGGGGCCGGGAAGGAGAGGAGGACCACTCAAAATGTCTGATGTCATTACCTGGGTGCTTATTAGAATTCTCAGACTCCCTCAGACCTACTGAACTAGAATCTGCATTTTAAGATCCCAGGTGACTGGTTTGCAAATTCAAGTTTGAGAAGCGCTGCTCTAGACTGCCCTGCCTTGGGTAGGATTGTATGTAAACCATCCCAAGGTTCTGGAATCACAGATGTGAGACTGAGTAATGCCAAAAACAAACAAACCAAAAACAATATCGTGTCTTTAGGAAGGAAAATTAGAAGAGATGAGACATTGGTCTGTTTGTCACATAACTTTAACTGAACCTCCATTGTAATACATGCTCACAAGAAATCCAAATGAGGAAGTTTATAAAGTGAAAAATGAAAGTCTTACAGCACCAATTCTGCTCTCTGCGGGAATCACTATGAGGACTCTATGAACAGTTTGGTGCATGTCTTTCCAGACTTTTTTCTAGGATTATACAATTACATTCATACACAGTGTCATTTAGAATAAAAATTTCTGGTCTTTTTATCTGGTAACTAGAGATAGAGACATCAAATTCAAAAGTATAAAGAGACTGAAAGAGAACTTTAGGGAAAATATAATGTGCTTCACCTACTGTCCAACCCCCTCCCCTTGCAGATCTGATTGACCGAGCCTTCAGCAGATTCCGCCACAGAGAGGTGGTCCATCTGTCCAGGTTGAGGAAAGGGCTGAACGTGTTGGAGCTGTGGCATGGGGTCACGTATGCATTTAAGGACCTGTCCCTGAGCTGCACAGCACAGTTCCTGCAGTACTTCCTGGAGAAGAAGGAGAAGCATGTCACCGTGGTTGTAGGTGTGTATTGTGGGCGTGAACTCTGGAGCCCCTTAGTGTCCCGGTATCCACCTGCAGAATGCCCTCTGTTGATGTCTCTCAGGGAGTGTGTTACTGGTTCTTCTAGAGCAGGGTTCTTAACCTTTTCTTGTGCCATGGGCCCCTTTGACAGTCTGGTGGAGGCCATGGAACCTTCTCAGAATAATATTTTTAAAATAAATATATAAAATACATAAGATTATGTGGTACCAAGTTCACAGATGCTCTGAATTCTATCCATGGGTCTCTTGGAGGTTCATGGGCCCCAGATTAAGTACTAGGTTCCTACCCTCCAAGTATTTAAAAGTAGATGTTGCTCATTTGGCAACAATGCTTGAGGGGCCATTTCTTTCGTTTTCCATCTCCCTTGTTCTAAAGGGAAGGGTTCTTCTTTCTTCTCATTGAGGAACATCTGGGGACACAGGGAGTGCTGCCATTGAGAGTGTTCAAGGGGCAAAGAACGTGGACATCATCGTTCTGCTGCCCAAGGGTCGCTGCACGAAGATTCAGGAGCTGCAGATGACAACAGTGCTAAAGGAGAACGTCCATGTGTTTGGAGGTGAGTTCTGGGACAGAGGCTCCAGGGACAACATGACCCTGCCTTGAGTGGGTCTGTTTTGGGAGATGGGCTGCGACAAAACTGGTCAGTTGACTCGCTGACCATCCTTCCTCCTCCTCTTTCTCTCTGCATCTCTTCCTTCATCAGTCATGTTTTGAGGTTGGTATATGCCTTGGGTTAGCTCTGGGCAGGCTCTTGGCTACACAGTCTCATAAACTATTGGAGATGACAGGTGCATAAACCAATACTGACAGTACAACCTAGGAAGTGCGAATTTAAAACTACACCCCAAAGAATGCCACCTCCATGCAAGTTCAACCTGCTGGTGCCGCGTTTACAGGCAGCCACCCAGAGCCATAGCCTGAGCCAAGTGACTTGGGTTTTGTCCCAGGGCACTGAAATTTAGAAGGCACAAACATGCTAAACAATTATTTTAAGAGAATTACATATTGACAGCTCATGCCCTCCCTTACACTGTAGAAATGACTAAGCCATGCACCTGGTTAGCAGGTCTAAGTATTTAAAGTAGGAAGCTGCTCAGTGGCACTCATTGCTAGTGACAGCCCTTCCTGAGCCACATCATGAATCGTAGCCTTTCATGCTTAGAGAAAAGCAAAAAACCATCTTCTTTAATGCCAGGCCATCTATTCCAGATGGATTTAATCATTGTGGAGATCAAGACTGGAGAAAGGGTGAGTCTGAGTGGAGCCACACATTTTTATTTCTACCTTTCATACTGCATAAGACTTCAGGTAGCCCCAAGGTAGGGGCCTTGGTCAGGTTTTTGTACACTGTAGCCTTGGGCAAGCTGTCTAGGAGGCCTGGCTTGGTTTGGTCACTCATCTGGCAGGATAGCAAATGTGGTGGCAGAAGACATTTCTTTTGCAACTGGCCTGGCCTCCTGGTATAATCCTGTAGAGGATGTTTTTATGTAATGCCAGTTTTGTCAAGGAGCAAAAGCACAGTGAAAACAAACTATAGCCATGGGAGTAGCACGGGTATCCTTTGTCCATTTGTTCAAGAGCAGGCAACAAGCACCCCCTGTGCTCTTTTCTTTAGCAAGCACACGCATATTCCAGTGCAAAGTTCATGCTTTAGCTAATGCAAGTGTTGGCAAAATCTTACACATTAGTCTTGGTCATTGCCCATATTTGGCTGCATTTTTCTGCAGTCATTGCAAGATTTTATGCACAAAATTCAGGCTCCTGAGGGTCCCTGTTATACCCCAAGCACTAAAATGGCTAGTTATGGATCTAGGACCGTCTTTTCCTAGAATCAAAGCAGAGAATAATTTTCTGTACCTCTGTCCTGCCACCTACTCCCTTCTCCCTTTGTACAAGAATATTGGAAGGCTTTTTACCTAAGGGCGTGCATGGAAGCTCCATTCCTGACTATGAGTTGAAGAATGGTGCCCATTTGCAAAATAGTGGCAGAAAAGTGGATGGCGATGGGTGCAGTTTGTCAGAAATGTGTTATTGCTGAAGCCAAAGGGGTATTGCTGTTTCTCACGTGTTCTGAGCTTCAAGAAAGTAAGGTAGGAGACTCTAAAGAAATTAGTTTTTATTTTTAAACAGCACTGTTCAAGTGCTTCCTTTCCTTTCTAGAATCTTCTGATTTGGTTTCAAGTAGGACATATGTTAGTTCAGGAGCTAATAGTGAATATGTGTTTTTACTTAGACTGGTGAGCTCAGAGAGTAGGGATGGGCCACCTGAATTGTTGTGTGTTGGACGCTGTTTTATAAAATCATTAATTTCCATATACATTGTATCCTTGGTTCTTCTTAAGCACAGAATAATCCACACATATTAGTTATATATTATTTGGGATGTTTTTTAGGTGGAAGTAATAGAAAATCCAACTCAGACCAGCTTGAACAAGAATATTTTCCAGCTTATGTAACTGAAAGTCCAGAGGTGGGGTGGGCTCCCAATTGGTTGACAACAGTGCCTTCAGGGACCCAGGTTCTTTGCGTTCTCTGCTCAGCCTTCCCCAATTCTAAGGCTCATTCCTCTTGTGGCATATGATGGTTACTTGAGGTAACCAAGTCTCCCTCTTCCTGTGGTTCTCTCTTAAAAGCAGTGACTCTTTTCCTGGAAACCCAGCAAACATCCCCCCATGTGTGTGGATCTAGAGTCAGTCCCCAGTGTCGCTGCTGTTACACGGTGGTGCGGGTGGAATGGTTAACAACGTCAGTGCCTACTCTGGCACTTCCCCCAGTAAATCTTACTCCCTCTCCTCCAAGTTTGGATCCGGTGGAGAAATAGACCCAGGTTTAAGAGAAGAGATGAATATTGGCTTGGTTGCTGGTTGAGCTGGATTGGAGAATACAACTTGGATTAGTAGCCAATTCACCCATAAATTTACCCAGCAATTCACCCATAAATTAAGCTGTGTACATACCCAGCTCGGGGAGGAGAAGTCCTGCCCATGTGGGCTTACCTACCATGGAGGAGCAGGGAGCAGAACACCCACCGTTTTGACCTAAATGAGGGAAGAAGGGCAGAACACGTGGCAACAGTGACTCTTTCCGCCCTAACCCCTGATAGAGGACCGTGGATTAAAGGACCAACCTCCCACTGTGTCACAATCAGATAAACCATTTCTCCTTCTTCCCAGAGAGTGGGGGAGGTGGGCCTGGAGTACAAAGAGGAATTCTTTTCCCAATATCCCAGTAGGTTGACATTTTATATTATATAATGGTAGAAAAAATGGAAATATGACCACAAGAATATGAGTCATGGTTTCTATCCTCGAGGAGCTTAATTTTGAGTCTAGAAAGCCAGGCCAAGACACGAGAGTGAAGAAACCAAAGCCGAGCGAAGGTCCCAGCAGGATGGGCTCAGTCTGGGAGGGCCTTGTTGCGGGCAAGTGCTGACCGCCTGGGAGTTCTTCGTGCTCCTGATAGCTGCCTCTCCTCTCTCCCCTAACAGTGGAGGGAAACAGCGATGAGCTTGACGAACCCATCAAGGCCGTGTTTGCTGACGTGGCTTTTGTCAAGAAGCACAATCTGATGAGTCTGAATTCAATCAACTGGTCCCGGGTCCTCGTGCAAATGGCCCACCACTTCTTTGCTTACTTCCAGTGTGCACCATCCTTAGACACGCACCCACTGCCCACCGTGGAGGTGGTTGTGCCAACGGGGGCCGCTGGTAACCTTGCAGGTAGGGAGACCTTGGGTGGAAATGGGCTTTCCAGAAAAACACCTGTGGCCCCAGTCCTTCCAGGTGCCCTTTGGCTGCAACTGTGAGAAGATTGAGTCCTAATTCTGAAGGTGATGGGAAACTACACAGAAGAGGCTCCCAGAAAACTGCCCCCTAACGCCCTGTGGGGACATCCCGGCCTCTTGCTGCAGGGAAAGAATGATGGGGGTTAACTCCGATGTGCTCCGGCCGCCTGACCTGACGTGCTCGCTCAGCAGAGTGTGGAGAGATGAAGTCACGGTTCAGCGCCGTGCCAGCTGGCAGTGCCCCCTTCCAGAAAGACAGACTTTACTCCCAGCCTTGCCAGCGCCTGCTATGAGGGCAAGTGGCTCACCTGGCACAATGTATCCCCACTCCTAGACACAGAGACCGTGTGAGGTGGCAAGAGCTCTGGGGTTCTGGCCCCAGTTCTGTCATTTCATAGCCGAATGGCTGTGAGGCAGGCCCTTAGGCTCAGCTCCTCAGCTGTAAAAGAGAGATTACATCGCTTATCATATCTCTCAGGACTGCTGTGAGGCGCAAATCAGATTATGTATGTAGATGACCTTTGTAAGGGTAAAGTGCTGTACACCCACGTGACATTAAAATCATTATCTATAGTAGTAATTAACATTTATCAAGCACTCATTTATCAACCATCAGGCACTGCTCTAAGTGCTTTTCACCTCTTTAGCTCATTTGATCCTCCCATGTGCCTATGAGGAGGACAATACTATTATTTCCATTTTATAGTGAGGAAACTGAGGCACAGAGAAGTTAGTTGGCTTGCCCTGGTTACACACTGGTCAGTGGCAGAGCCAGGATTACAGCCCAGGCAGGCTGCTCCAGAGCCTGCACCCTGGCCCCTCGCTAGGCTGCCACTTCATGGGCAGTACTGTTTCTCATGGTTCTGTTGGTGGCATTGCTTCTGCTGGACGCCAGGGATGGCTTAGGTGAGACCAGGAAAGCATCTTAGTGGTCGGGAGTCTTCCTGACTTCTTCCAGTAACACAGGGATGGAAAGAACGGTGAGCTGGCAGTTAGGCAAGGACGACTCACCCTTTTTCACCACCAGTGCAGTGAAGCCCACGACGTTCCCCACTTGCATCAACCCCCAGTGAATGATGCCGCCTGGAGTCGTGCAGCCTGCACCTGCCCCATTGCCAACCACAGTGCCTGGCACAAAATAAACATTTGCAGAGGGTGCTCCTGTGTATCCCTGCTCCATCAGGAACTAGCTGTTGACCGTAAGTCCCTGGACCCTTCTGAGCCTCCATTTCTCCTCTGTCATATGAGGATATCATGATGTTTACGTGAGGATCAAGTAAAATAAGAATGTGAAAGTCCTTTGCAAAGTCAAGAGTGATATCTGGGTGGTGTGGTTATCCCTAACTCCCCTTAGCTACTCACCAGAGATAAACCATTCATGGAAGTATGTACAACCTTCCTAAACTACATTACCTTTTTGGGCTCTCCATCTCTCAGGTCAGGGTGAGGAATTTCTTGTTTGTTCCATGCAAACAGGAACTGCTGTTAAGGTGGACCAAGGGTGCTGCTCTGTCCTCCCTTGGTGCCTCTCCAGGAGATGCAGTCTGAAGGCACTGGTTCTAGGACACCGAGTCAGGGGACAAGAGCATGTGCTCTGGACTTAGACCTAGTTTCAGTCCTTATTCTGCCACATAGCCGGCTTTGGATGGGTCATTTCAACTTCCCAGAGCCTTCATTTTCTCGTCTGCAAATGGCAGCCGGTGTGCGTGTCAGTACCTGGCAAGGGGTGGCATAGAGAACAGCATCAGGGGATGGCAACATTCTCCTCCTCCTCTTTCTCCTTTTTTTTTTTGTGTAACACCTTTATTGCTGTATAATTCGCATACCATACTATTCATCCATTTAAAGTATGTAATTCAATGGTTTTTAGTATATTCACAGATTCGTGCAACCATCAGCTACAATAAATTTTAGAACATTTTCATCACCCTAAAAGGAAACCCATTCCCATCAGCAGTCACATCCCATTTCCCCTCATCCCCACCCCCCTCAATTCTAGACAACCACTGATCTACTTTGTCTCTACAGATTTGCCTGTTCTGGACATTTCATATAAATGTAATCATACAATATGTGGTCCCTTGTGTCTAGCTTCTTTCACTTAGTGTAATGTTTTCAAGGTTCATCCATGTTCTAGCATGTATCAATACTTCATTCCTTTTTATGGCTGAATAATATTCCATTGTTGGTATATACCACCTTTTGTTTATCCATTCATCAATTAATGGACATTTGGATTGTTTCAGTTTTTTAGCTATTATAAATAATGCTGCTATGAACATTTGTGTATGAGTTTTTGTGTTTCAAAATGTTTTCATTTCTCTTAAGTATGTATACCTGGGAATAGAATTTCTGGGTCATATGGTAACCCTATGCTCAACTTTTTGAATAACTGCCAGAGTGTTTTTCAAAGCAGCTGCACCATTTTACATTCCATCAGAAATGTATGAGGGTTCCAATTTCTCCAAATCCTCACCGACAGTTGTTATTATCTGGCTTTTTTATTCTAGCCATCCTAGCAGGTATGAAGTGGTATGTCATTGTGATTTTGGTTTGTATTTTCCTGATGACTAATGATATTGAGTATCTTTTGTGTGCTCACTGGCCATTTGTATATCTTCTTTGGAGAAATGTTTATTCAAGTCCTTTGCCCATTTTTTAATTGAGTTATTTGTATTTTTATTGTTGAGTTGTAAGACTTCTTTATATATTTGGGATACAAGTCCCTTATCAGATATATGATTTATAAATATTTTTTCCCATTCTGTGGCCTGCCTTTTCATTTTCTTGATAGTGTCTTTTGAAACACAAAAGCTTCAAAAAGCACAAAAATTTCTTTTTTTTTTTTTTGTGAGGAAGATCAGCCCTGAGCTAACATCCATGCTAATCCTCCTCTTTTTGCTGAGGAAGACTGGCCCTGAGCTAACATCTGTTGCCAATCCTCCTCCTTTTTTTCCCCAAAGCCCCAGTAGATAGTTGTATGTTATAGTTGCACATCCTTCTAGTTGCTGTATGTGGGATGCGGCCTCAGCATGGCCCGACAAGCGGTGCGTCGGTGCGCGCCCGGGATCTGAACCCGGGCCACCAGTAGCGGAGCGCGCGCACTTAACCGCTAAGCCACGGGGCTGGCCCCAGCACAAAACTTTCTTAATTTTGATGAAGTCTATTTATCTATTTTTTCTTTTGTGGCTTGTGCTTTTGGTGTCATGTCTAAGAAACTATTGTTCTTTTCCTCTCCTGTCTTAAGCTGGGTGCATTGCTCAGAAAATGGGCCTGCCCATCCGCCTGGTCGTGGCAGTGAACCGCAATGACATCATCCACAGGACTGTCCAGTGGGGAGACTTCTCTCTGTCCAAGGCCGTCAAGCCAACCTTGGCATCAGCTATGGACATTCAGGTGGAACCTGTGGGGAGCTGTGCAGGTCTGGCCCAGGTGTTGGTTGGGTGGGGATGGACAAGGGCTGAGCCAGGACCCTGCCTTTCTGCCCAGGTGCCCTACAACATGGAGAGGATCTTCTGGCTGCTATCCGGCTCTGACAGCCAGGTGACAAGGGCCCTCATGGAGCAGTTTGAAAGGACCCAAAGTGTGAGTCTACCCAAGGAACTGCACAGCAAGGTCAGTCACCACCCACACACTGTGGGGAAAGGAAAGGGTGCAGCCACAAGACTAGACTTGGGGTTTGAAAATCTGTTCAAGGGAAGGCCACATGTTTCTTGAGCACCTGCTATGAGCCTGGCACTTTTGCAGTCCCTTTATATGGAGTCATTTATTGAATGAGGAGAGGCAGTAGAGAGTATTGGCTTAGAGTCAGACGGGGCTCAACTCCAAGCCAGCTGTGAGACCCTGGACCAGTTTCTTAAACTCTGTGCCTCAATTTCCTCATCTGCATAATGGGGATAATAAGAATGCATACCTCATAGCATTGTTGAAGGTTTAAGTCAAATAATACTCATGAAGCACTTTGTATACTACCTGGCAATATAGGGCTTGATATGTTAACTATTATCATTTTTATTTATTATTGCTGTTGATTTCCAATAATAGCAACAACTGGAAGCCACTTTGCCCATCCAATATAAGCAGAGACCATTGTCCTGTTAGCTCTTTTTTTTGCAAAAGGAGTAAGAGAAATTTTATTTCCTCAGAGTGGTAGGAATCTAGTTGAGAGGGATTGCTTTTATTTTAATGCAACCTGGTGATGGTCACTTATTTTATGTAAAACAAACAAAGCAAAAAAGGATTTCATATGTTGAAGTTGCCTTTAATATTCTCTACCACATTCCCACCAAGTGGTCATTCCAGACTATGCATATCTCCAGTGACCAGGACCTCACTACCTCACATCGGCTTTTAATCATTACAGAGTTCTTGGTGTTGAGCTAGAACTGGCTCCTTCTAGCTTGCACACTGCTGAGCAGTCTGATTCCTATATTTGAAGAGAATCTTCGTTTACTCACTAGGGCTTCCTGGTTCCTTTAGCTGTCACTTATGAGACATAATTTTGAATGGTCAATGTCCATCTTAAAGAGTTGTTCCTGGAACTGGATACAGTTCTCTGGGCTTCGCTACCATGCAGACTGGAGTGGAATTTCTGTCTTCTGGAACGTATGCTTCTTTTGCTGCAACCTGTCTTAGTCACTTTGGACTGCTAGAACAAAGCACCGTAGACTGGGTGGCTTACAAACAACACCAATTTATTTCTTACAGTTCTGGGGGCTGGAAGTCTGAGATCAGGTTGGCATGGTTGGGTTCTGGTGAGGGCCCTCTTCTAATCCCTTAACATTAACCTGGGATTAGAGTTTCAACATATGATTTTGAGGGGACATCAACATTCAGACCATAACACAACCAAAGATCAACTTATTTGGTTAATGGTTTCTTTTGACATCTGCATTCCTTCTCCTCATGTAAAATGAGGTGCTCCATGAAGACAGACACTGTATCCCCCTAGCCAGGAACTATGCTGGTGAGATCTCCAACTGTGCTGGAGATACAAAGATAAATAAAATACATTCATTGTCTTCTCTGAACCCTAACGGGACAGGTAACTATATAAACGATTTATAATCGAGTATGTGCAGGGTGTTTGGCACATTGTAAGCATGCCATGGATTTTCAGAGAATGATCAAATAAACCATGCACACCCAGGGGGCGCCGAGAACGGAGTCTTCCTCTGTCTGAGGGTGGTGGGGAGTTTTCCTAGAGGAGGTGCTACGTGAGCTGGGTGGGACCTGACAGGAAGGTGTTCTCACACCCACAGGAAGCGGGCACACCATCAACAAAGCACCGGGAATGTTTGAATTCCCTTAACCTTCTGTGTTTCCTCAGGTTGTTGAACAAGACTATATACTAATTTGCTGATTCATGAGCTAAATATTAACTAAATTTATTGACCTGAAATTCAAACTTGTCCTTCCCCCAAGTTGAGTGAATCAGCTTAAACCTGGGAAACCAGATTTTTCTCTGAGCTGAACCTGAGCCGTTCAATCTAAACATTTCATTTGAGTCTCTGGTGTTTATGTGGTTATGTTATATGGTGGATTTTTGTCACCTTTTCCCCGGTTCCCCCCAACCCCGGTTCCCACTCCTCTGACCCTTGGACCTGTCAGCTTTCAGAGGCAGTCACATCTGAGTCAGTGTCGGATGAGGCCATCACCCAGACCATGGGCCGCTGCTGGGAAGAGAACCAGTACTTGCTGTGCCCTCACTCGGCCGTGGCCGTGAGCTACCATTACCAGCAGACTGACAGGCAGCAGCCCAGGTATGGGTTGGGGGCGCCTGGGTCACTGGGGGATGCTTTGGCTTTCAGAGGCCTTCCTCTTCCTCAAGCAGGGGAAACAGGAATGTGAACAAATGGCCTTAATAAGCATGATGGGTGCTGTGGAACTGTGCCCCAAGAACTGTGGTCCCAGAAGAGGGTGTGCGATAGATGTCTGGGGGCCCCACTGCGAGACATGGTGTGGGCCTCCAACGGGGAGGAGCAATTTGCCCTGCAGAGTCATTGTAGAAGTGAGTTCAAGGTACAAACATCTGTCTCTCTCTCCTCCATGACCCACCCTACCCCTAACCTTCCCCTGTTCCTGCTCCTCCCTCCTCCCCTTCTCCTTTCTGTACCTGCCCCTCTATCTATTGTTTCCTGCCCTCCTGTTCCCACCTGCTCCACCCCCCACAGCCCTCCTCGGTGTTGTCTGGCCCCCGCCTCTGCAGCCAAGTTCCCAGAAGCTGTCCTGGCTGCCGGGCTGATCCTGGAGACTCCCTCAGAGATCCTAGCCCTAGAGCAGAAGGAGACACGTTGCACCCCAATGCGGAGGGGTGACGACTGGACGCTGATGCTTCGGGACACAATTGAGGACCTAAGCCAGCAGTGGAGGGGTCCCTTCCTGAATGCCCGGGAATAGCCAGGCTGGAGTTGGCTTCTTTTAGGCTTCAGATCCCAGGGAGGCGTGCCCTTGGAACGGCCCTGTATACCTTCTCCCCATTAAGAATTGGTGTAGGACATTCTCAGGAGGCTGCTCAGTGGGGTCTGGAGCCAGCTGGTTTTGCTCCGCTCCATGGCTGCTCTGTGCATTCACCGCGGCGATGTTGTGCCTGGTCATCGGTGATGCCGGGTGGGGGTGTGGATGAATGCTGGAGGTGCGCCCCCACTGCTGCACGGTGCAGGAGCATCACTGCTGCATCTGAGAGTTTCAGGGACTGCAAATGAAGAGCCTTGGGCACAGAGTCGACCTCAGACCCTGAACTTGTGCTGGTGGGGCCACTCACTCCATTAACGCAGGCCTGGGGCTCATGGTCTCTGAGCCTTGGTTTATCTGGTCCCCAAGCCAGATCCACAAGTCTTGGCCTGCCTTGTCAGAGGCTTCCGCTCTGTTAAAATGTTGTGAATCCCTGCAATAAAAGTACATGTTCAGTGTGATGGTGACTCTGCATGGCCTGTGGGCAGAGAATGGTGGCTGCTGAGTAGTGATGGTGGTGCTGCAGTGTGTGCCCCATCCACCAGCTGCTCCAGACTGGGCCAGCATTGAGGGGGCAGCAGAGCAGGCAGTTGGGCAGGTGGCATGGGTGGTGGTGGTGCACAGGGTTGAGGTGTGGTGGGATCGCCAGATCCAGGCCTTTGGAAAGCATGCGCCTCAAGGTGTAAACTGAGTCAAGTTGCCATGTTGCTCATATATCGGGTTCACCTGCTTTATTAAACCAGGGCATATGTCATGGGCAGTGAGAAGCAATGATCCCTCCTTGACCGCTAAATAAAGTCCAAATGCCTACATTTCCATAGGTACCTCCGTAATCACGCTGCCCCAGAGAAATCAAGTTGTTCTTTCCTCTGAAAACATGACTCACGCTGTCCTCTCGCCCTCGACCCTGCGCTTGCCTCTGGGTGACTGTCCTTTGATGAGGCCACAAATCCCATCTCACAGGCTACTTAAGTCTTGGTTCCTGTGTCCCTCATCAGTCCAGCTGGAAATAATGATTCCTGTTTCTGAACTCTGGCAGAACTTCAACTGTAGCTTTCTTAAAGCGTGTATTTCCTTCTACCCTGTTTTATGTTTATCCACATTAGACATTATCTCCCCTTCTCTACGCTTCTTGACAATAAGAACCATTGTTTAACATGACAGGCTGAAACTTTTTGGATTTGCCTCTATTGATAAAAAATTTTTAACATGTTTTCCCAATGTATGTATACTAAATTATGTATAAACTACACAAACCATATGCTAAAATAGGAATGAAGGAATAATAATGAAACCTACATTTGTCTTTTCTCCACATATTCCAGTGGATTGTCTTGCGGGCCCATCTTTGGCAGTCCTGGCTGGGCACAGTGCCTGGTGCGTTCCATAACCAGCTGGGAACCAGGGCGCAGCTCCCCTGTGAGTGCATATACTGTGCAGTGGTTCTCAAAGTGTGGCCCTTGGGTCTCATCAAAGCGCACACTCCAGGCCCCTACCGCAGACCTTCAGACGCAGCTCTCTGGGCACGGGCTGGGCATCTGCGGTTCTTGCAAATTCCCCAAGCGAGTCTTCTATGCTAATTTGGGAAATTCTGGCCAGGGACTTCAAGTTTACAAATAATTTTCTTCCCCAGTGAGGTGTGCTTTATTTTCACAAGGGCATGCTGTATTCCTCCTACTGTTTTCATGATCCAGCTCTGCACTGTCCAGTCAGAAGCCAGTAGCCATATGTGACTGTTGAGCACTTGAAATGTGAATAGTATGACTAAGGAACTGAATTTTTAGTTTTGTTTAATTTTAATTAATTTACATTTAAATTTCAAAACTGTTACTTGATTCAGTTATTGGAAAATTTTTAAGTATGGTTGGAAAAATGCCGGTATGTGAATCTGCTTTTTCAGCTGTAAATTTTATGAGGTACATAAAATACAGATCAGTATTTCCAATGAAAATTTAGTGTTCTAACTGAGATATGCCACAACTATAAAATACATATTAGATCTCAAAGACTTTGACTGAAAAAAAATCTAAAATATCTTGATAATTTTATATTGATTACATATTGAAAGGATAATATTTTGATGTATTGGGTTAAATAAAATATATTATCAAAATTAATTCCATCTGTTTCCTTTTCCTTTTATAAGGACATTTAAAGTTATATGTGTGGCTCACATGTTGTATTCCTATGGACATCAGTGACCTAGAGCTTAGCCTTGGCTTTGTGTACACATGAACACACCGTAGAGAGTTGTGGGTGTAGTTATATTACTGGGTTCAAATCCTGTGTGGATTGAGGGGGGTTTTAGAAAAACATTGACATGTGAATGTCAACACAAGCCTCCTGCCCTCGCCTCTGGAAGGTGAGGCTGGCACAGTGTGGAGAGAGTTTGAGGGCCACTAGAGGACACTGTTGCCACCACTCTGAAGGCTGCTGTGAAAGGACCCAGTGGGCTTCTGCCTCCGGAGCCCCCTTCCCCTGCCCTGAGGTCCAAAGGTCACCCAGTTTGATCCCCACATCAGAACATGCCAGCCCCGCATCCCCGTGGGGCCCAGGGACTGAGGGAGAGACCAGAGGGCACCCTCTTACTAGAAAACTAGACATTGAAGCATGGCGTTCGGTACAGAGAGAGAAGGGCAGGGATGCTGGACACACAGGAGCACAGAAGGAGCACCCCTAAAAGAGTGACTATGACCGTTATAGACCGCAGCACTTGACAGCTTCTGAGATCCTTTCATATCCACAATAGCAAACATGATGAAGCCCCCAGGGTCCTTCTATCCATTTGGCACAATAGGCTCGATGCTCTGGGGTCACAATACGTTTAGAGGCCCATGAAAATGTTTCAATTTCTTCTAAAAGAAATTAAAAGAAAAAATGAATATAATCCAGTTTGGATTATATTCATATTTATACCAACACAGTAGTACAATAGAATTTTAAATATTTTTTTGTGGAGGAAGAGGCCCATGAAATCAAAAGTGCCCAGGGCCAACAGAAGTCCTAATGCAGCCCTGATAGCACCCACTATGTGCCAGGTCATACTTTACAAAAATTAACGAATTTAATCCTGATAGCATCCTGTGAAGTAGGCGTAACTATTGTCTGCATTTTAGAGGTGAGGAACCGGCGGCCCTAAGAGGTGAGGGAACTTGTCAGGGTGGCAGCGCTAGGGAGCAGAGAGGCTGGGACTTGAACCCAGGTGTGTGGCTTCAAGTTTGGTGTGCAGTGTTCATCACACCACATCATACGTAGCTGGTCGCCTTCTGCTGTGTCTGTCACTCTCCATCCTTCCCCAGGCCCTGTTCCTGCTTCTCCGTCCCCCTTCCTCTCCCTTCCATGGATGGATTTGGAGGCAGGGCTGTGCTTCTCCAGGAGGCCCACCAGGGGCTGCTACAGCCCTGCTTTCCAGCTCTCTGTCCCGGCACTGCTCTGGCACCCAGGGCCTGCCGCGGGCAGGTAGAACCCCTAGTTCCTTATCCTTTGGCTGCCATATTTCTGAGGGCCTAAAGGCAGCTTTGGGGTCACAGGGGTCACAAAAACCCCCACCTTCTGGATGGTTCAGAGACCTATCCGGCTCTGAGAGGCCACCACACCTGTGAGGGGGGGCCCAGAATAAAGCCACTGGACACAGCACAGATAGATGTGAGACATGAACTACAGGATATTCTGGCCACAGGGAATCTTGGGCTGAGTGGAGGAGAAGGACAGGAGCGAGACAAAGTCTGAAGCAGCCCCCACCTGTGTAAACATACACACAGGCACATACACACACACACAGACAGACACACACACACACACATATAGACACTTACACATGCACACACATCAGGTTACAATCAGGTTGAAGTTGTCCTTTCTGAGTCATCTACCTGGTGGTGTGATCACAAACAAGCCATTTCATCGCCGTGAGCCTCAGTTTCCATATCTGCTAATTACAATACTCACTCACTGGTTTGTTTTGAGGATTACATGAGATAATGTATTTCCAAGTGCTAGGTAAATGCTAAAATGCCGTACAAATAGTTCTTATTATTAACACAATTATAGTCTGCACCGAACAATTTAGTACTTTTAAGCTATCTTGTATCTTTTACTAATTGCTTCCCGAATTAGTCTTATCTTGCCTGCAAGTATGCCTTTTCCTCGAGAACAAAGTTCTTTTGTGGCCCCGCGGTGCTGGCACAGCTCTGGGCACTGGGTTGGAGCTGCTCTGGCCCAGCCAATGTGCCCAGCAACAGGCTCTGAGAGGGTCATGGGGGCTGAATGTCATGGGTTAGTCAGGAGGGGCTCTGCTGGGCCAGTTAACAAGCCTTGTTAGTGTGCCATGATGATGATGGAATGATTCCCTTTCTTGAGCACTAATGATGGGCTGAGCCCTTTGTAAAGCACTTTCCGGACATTGACTTCTTTAGTCCTCACGAGAACTGTGTGAGAAAGTACTATTAGGATCTCCATTCTAGAGATGAGGAAATGAAGCTCAGAGAGGTAAGTAACTTGCCCAAGGCCACCCAGCCAGTGAATGGTAGAAGAGAGATGTGAGGCTGGGTGTAGGGTCTGCAACCTTAACTTCTGTGCTAGACCAGGAGAGGCGCTTTGGGCTCGATGGCCTCCAAGTCCTCTTCAAATCAGTCTGCAGTCCTCTGAAGGCTAGATGGAGAGAAGGCCGTGTCTGAGGGTGGAGGAGAAGAGAAGAGGGCCCATCATTAGGAGAAAGGCCAGATGTTCTGCGAGAGAGCACAGAGCCAGCACCTTTGCAGGGAGCTTTCCTCTGGCTCAGCCCCCTGCTTGGAACTGGGTTCCTCACTGGGAATGGCTGGGGGCAGGTGTCTGCTGAGCAGAGTGGGGGTTGTCCTGGGAGGAGAGTGAGGTGAGAGTAGTTCTATGGGATTTGCAGCTGTTGGCAGGGAGGCTCGGCCTGGTGGGGCCCACTGGAAAGACTCAGACTCAGATGCATGATGCTGGGGAGCCTTTGTTGAGTTGTCTGTGTCCCCAAATAAACAAAGGGTGAGCAACACAGGGAGGGCGGGGCCGTTAGCCTCCTGGAAAGAGGAGAGGACCGACTTCTCTCTGTCCTGCTCACTGCCTTTGCCCAAGAAAGCATCTTCCCAGACCCACCCTCTTAGGCCCCACCCATCAATTCATCTATCCCACAACCTGGGTGCCTCCCAGGGTCCAGGAGCCCGGCAAATGCTGAGAGTCAGTGTGGGGACTTCCTACCAAGTGCTGGGCACTGTGTTGGGAACCAAGGGATAGAGAAAAAGTAGGAAAAGATGGGGCTGAGGTTGACTTATGTAGAAAGACAAAAGTTTGTGACAACACTCCAGGGGCTGCCCCAAGGCTGTGAGCGGCTGGTTCTAGAATGCAGATGCCCAGGCAGCCCTCCTGCAGCCCTGTCTTCCCAGTCCCACTCCCGCACTGACCTGCAGTGTTGCAGTGATTGGTTTAGGGGCCTGCTCCC